CACAGGTACCGTTAGTATTAAGTTAAAAAAAAAATGACAAGAGATTCTGGATTCATAAGAGTTTGAGTTTTTCATTACTAAAGAGTTTTAAGAATGCTCATATTTTATGAGAAAAAATAAAAATAGAACAAGGACAAGAAATATTAATAGAACATTGTTTCACTGTAAATTCAGTCTAAACTGTTCCAGGTATTTCCAAATATTTCATGTTTTAATTGGCTTTCCAGGGCTACAAGTCACAACCACTTAATCTTGTATTGATTTTCTAAGATGCTTCCTGTTACTATGACTACCCCAATCAATTAACTTCTTATTAGTAGCAAGATAATTTTCTTTCTTGTTTCTTTCCAATGAAGTCTGAATAATTTATTTCCACAAAAATATCTGTTGTTGCCTCTTATCTATCAAGGAACTACATTATGTTGGTAAAAATGTTTGAGGCCTTTTGTTTAAAAATGTGTTTATAGATTCTGCACAGAGAAAGCATACAGAATTGCCTTGGACCGATATCATGAGTGGTTTATCAATCTGTGGTTGTATTGATAAAAGTTCTCTTTGGCTACGGAAAAGTGCCTTTCACTTGGCCTTTATCACAGGGAACTGAGAGGCTGGCAATTACTCAAGGAGGATTTTCACTGGGAAGAAGAAAATCGTTCTGCCATAGGTCAGCCATTGTGACTTCTTTAGTTAGAATTGTATTCCCTAACCCAAAAACAAATTTCACTCGTAGTATAGCATGAGGATTTGGCATGGGAGAGCAAAGTTACTATAATCTGAGCCTACCCGCTTTTTCTTAAACACAGCCCTGGAAACAATAGAAACAAGATTCAGGAGAGACACTGGTCTTTGGAGTCAGACAACCTGGACTCACGCCTTTATGTCATTTGAGAAAATTTGGTTAACTCTCCTAAACACCCTGAAGTTTCATTTCCTGTCCTACAAAATGAGATCAATATAGTTACTCCATGGTAGTATGGGGGCTCTCTAAATCTAACTTCTCCATCCTTCTATCCAAGTCCTTTCTTCTACTCAAGAGATCTTTCCAAAACAAAGGAGTGATCAGGTCACTTGCTTGTCCCAAACCTCCCCCATGTCTGGAGAACACAGGACAAATCACATAGAATGCCATCCTCCATCCTATTGAAACAGTTCTCAGCCAGCCTTTCTTGGCTCATCCTCTGGTCATTTGCCTCAATTCACTTCTTGGTCTAGCCACCTCAAAACAGATTTATCATGTACCTTCAATGCTTTACAGCTGTATGTTTGTTCAAAGCACCTCCCCAAAGTTTTCCTGCCCAAAATGTTCTTCCTATCCTTGTCCACTTAGCAAACTCTTGCTCATCCTTCCAGGCCAAGGATATCCCCACAATCACCACCTTCCCAACTGTGCCTGGAGTTTCTCCCCAAGAAAACAAAGATTAATTTTCACTAGGTGAAACAATCTCATTTTTCATTTGGCTTCCAACATGAAAAAAATATTTTATTTGGCACCTAACATGAAAATATCTAGATGCTATTTAACCACACAGTGAAGTGATAAAAAAAAAATAATGCAATCTGTGTACTGATAACCTAAGCACTAAAAGCAAAAGATCATGTTATTCAGATCCCAAAGTCAATCAGCTTTAAGTCTAAATAGTCTAAGTAGTCACCGAATTGTGAGAAAACCAGCACACATGCAGAAAAATATGTCACCTGCCAAATAAGCTTATCCATATCAATTACTTTGAGCATGGCCATCACCTGTTAGGTACAAGATATATCATTTCTAATTTAATACTTTAAAATTGGTATAAATGAATAGACTGAGATTCAAACAAGGTAAGTAATTTGCCCAAGTATTTAGTATGTAGCAGGCTTGTCATCCAAATCCAGGCCTATCAGCCTCTAAAGCCTATTCTATTTCCACCCTTCCACATTATCTCCCTATTAACCTTGCACTTTGATCATAGGTAGGTCTTAAAAGCAATGGTCTATGTGTCTTTCTCCCAGGTTTCAGGTGCTATCTCTAGCCAGGTCACTCAAAATACTCTTGCTTGAGAAAAAGGGGGTTGGTGTGTGCATTTAGATAGGTTATACCTAAAGAAGAAAAGAGATGGGGACTCTTCAAAGCACAGTTGCCTCATCCCATTAATAATACACATTATTAAAGTAAGTTTTCTTCCTGGCACTAGACCCATTGATGACCTTTCTCATTTTTACTTCAACTCCTTAGAGTATTTTTTTATGTTTGCCTGAATAAAAGTAACATATTATAGCAAGATTATAGCATGATATAAATTATCGCTGAGTTATTAAAGATATCCTCATCTCTTAATTTCCCTGACTGGGTTCATCGGAAGGTGTTTACTATTGTGGTATACTGGTAGTCTTGGTGATGGTAGTAGTTGTGTTTAGCAACCTAAAATTGTGTACATATCTTACTTCAAACCTTTTTTTGATCTTACGTTAATCTCAAAAAAAAGTTTATTAAAAAAAAAAAGTTTATTGATGCTTTGCATGAAACATGGATCAAGGCAACAATGTCTCTCACAGAGCTTATGCAAAGTAAAACAGAGGAATGATTAGAAAAGTCAAAATGTTACTTCAGTAGAAGACAAACTAGGAAATCATGCTTGTCTCAATGAATGGAACATTTTTAGTACATCTTCTATTCTTATTTGGAATTACTATTTTTTTAAATCTAGATATAGGTATAAACATAGATACAAGATAGACACGTAGATACAGAGCATTTAAAAATCAATCCAAACTGGAGGAAAACTGAGTTTAAAGGTTAATAACAGGGGCCCTGGGTGGCTCAGTTGGTTAAGCATCTGCCTTCAGCTCAGGTCATGATCTCAGGGTCCTGGGATGGAGCCCCAAGTCGGGGGGGTCCCTGCTCAGTGGGGAGTCTGCTTCTCCCTCTCCCTCTTTCTCCTCCTCTCTCCGCCCCTCCCCCACCAGCTCGTGCTCTGTCTCTGTCTCTTTCTCTCTCAAATAAATAAACAAAATCTTTTTTAAAAATAAAATAAATATTAGTAACATGTCAAATTTATTCCCCATAAAGATTTCCTTTCTTTTAAGTGGCTTCCCAGTTCACAACCGGGGGAAATCAACCCTGCTTCCTCAGTCTGGGTCCTAGGAGAAAGGAAAGAGGACTGAAACCTTCATGGGGAATAGAAAGAAACAAGGCAGCCAGCACAGGTCCCCACCTGAGGAGGAGATCCTTCTCTCTCCAACACAAACACAGAGATTTAAATTGACTGTAGTTCCTATCTTGCTGACACTTAGCACTTAAAGAAATTTGGATTGTGGCCATGGCTAATGGGGAAGCTCCCAAACATGTCCCGGTTGTCAGTTTTCCCTCCTGGACTGACTTATAACACTACTATTGAATGACTCCATAAAGCATGTAAGTTAGCAAATAACAAGATACTGAGTCTATTCTTGAGGTGGTTTTTTTTTTTTTCAATTTCTACAAATAATATGAGTTCTCCAGTTCTTCCTGTAGCTGAAGGCCTAGCCTATCCATCTTGCAAAAGAAAGATGACAAGTTAAATTAAAAAAAAAAGATAAAACAATTATGAAAGGCTAGATTGCCATTCTGTGCTAAGTAACATGGTTGTGGTACCCAATTTTCTTTATAAAGCGAAGGACACTTTACACACTGCTGGCAATAGTGCAGAATTAGGACTGATTCCACATGAAAAATGCATTTCCAAACATGCTTATCCTGTGTCCTCTCTCAACCCCTATTAACTGTCTCTATGGAGTTTTTAAAAAGATGTTGTTTAAGATAAGACAGGAGCACCGCTAACTCACCCAGAGCAAGTCAGGAAACCTGCATCAGGAAAAAGCTATGCAGAGAAAAAGGAACAGTGTGCCTTATTCACTTCAGGGGCAAAATCCAAACTGTGAATTCAATTTGGTTAAGATGTCCTGCTGCCTGGAGAAATGGACCATTTTTAGTTGAGTCATCAGCCATCAATTTAAATGCCTACAGACACAGTCAGAAATTACTATGGAACAGAGATCTGGATAATTTTGGCTATTCAACATGAAAAAATAAAGTCTAGCATTCTGGCCTAATGAATGACAAAGATATAATTAGTCATTTTAAAACGAGATATTTTCAGCGGTAAAAGTTCGAAAAATTAACTGTTGACTTGCAAACTTCTAAGATACATGTTGAATATACAGAGAATAGTAACTAATACCACTCAAGAGTTAATTTGCAAATTTGGTAAAGAATTTAAGATTTATTCCATAAGTATTATATACAAAGTACTGTAAAGCAAACCACAGAAAGTGGAAGGACATCCTAAAACTTAAAAAGTAGGTTTATGACATGTCACTAACTAATAACTGATTTTCCACTTTATAGTTCCGAACCAGGTAAGAGTCGTTCACTGGAAGAAGCACCATTCCTATGTCAATTCCATGTGATGGCCCTTCCACCAAAACAACAACAACAAAAACCCGAATTAAGTCTAGAGAAGTAATTCAAAACAGTGATTCCAAATCTTAGATACCAAAATGCATATTGATTGATTGCTTTTCTAACAGCTTTTTGGGCAACATGAAGATATTAATGATCATATCCCTAATTCAGGAGGTTAAATGGAATAGTAAAACAAATATTTAGCTAATAATTAATATACACAGAAAAAGGAGGAGAAACAAAACAAAAAAGCCTAAATAGCTAATAATTAAAATCCAAAATGTGCTCTTTGTTCTGATTATCACGATAAAAATCTCAGGTCATCACCCACATTTATGCTTAGACATAGCGAGGTTTGTACCTAGTATTACAAACCCCATCTATTAAAAGGTCCATATCTTTCAACTTTTCTTCTATAATCCTTTGTCCAGTTAGTGTTTTAGTGTTGGTGCTTAAAAACGATTTTAAAAAAATGTTTTTATTATTCTTTAAGTAAGACATTTTGTCATTCTAACACATTAGATAAGAGAAGTCAAACACCAAAGCCTGAGAAACTGGGTCATTTGTCAATTTTTACCTGAAGGCCTTCAATAGCCAATCGCAGCATGCTTGGTGTAAGTTTGGAGGCTTGCTTGAAGGTGAAGTTACTCCAGTCTATGATCAAAACAAATCCATTCACCTGCAGCTCAGGATCTTCAATCATAGCTTCTAAAGAAAGTAAGATGGCACGCAAAATATCCACCAGTGTGTACCTATCAGCAACAGAAATGGACTACATTAAATCTAACGACCACTTTTGTCAAAGCTATAGAAAGTGTTTAGCACACTGAAAAGTCCTTTTAAAATACCTCAGGAGTCTGAAGATAATTTTGTTTAGAAATCTTCTTCCAAGAGGAAATTTATTCGCTGCACTCCAGGGACATAGTAGAATTTAACATGTATTCTCCCCAAACAAACTAAAATACTTTTGAAAATATTTTGTTTCATATTTTGCAACCATTTCCTTTACCTCCAGGCCTTCCTCTGATTTTCTAAAATCTCATCTCACCTCTCCTGAAAACTAGGCATGGTATTTTTTGAAGCAGCTCAGGAATGCCCTCAGTAACATTGACATTTCCCACCTTCACATTTGGAGAAGTTGAGAATGAGATTTGAAGGAGTTCCACCAATAAACAAGAACACTAGGGTAAACAGCTATGGTTAAAAATGTCAGCAGATTTTAATTACTCATATGGAGTTAATATCATAAAGATGCAATGAAAGAAAGAAGGATACGGGATTGAGTCTTTATCTTTTTGAGCCTTGCACCTTAGCACAGTGCCTGGCACATTGTAGGAACCCAATTAATGCTCCTTACGTTCCTGTAGAATGGGAGTAGACTAGAGTGCCAAGGCACTAATTAGAGTAAGATACTGCCTCAGCGAAGGCAACAGAACGAAGAGCAAAGAAAAAAAGCCAAATTTGAGAAGTATTTTAGAGGTCAATTTGTTAAAACGTAATACTTAATTAGACACAGAGACTAAGATTGAAGGAAGAGTAAAAGATGACACAAAGATTTTCTAGCTTCAGAGCCTGAATAAATGGTAAAATCTTTCATCAAAATCAATAATGCAAGAAGAGGGTACAGTTGATGATCTGAAAATGTAGAGCTTGGAATAAAGCCCATTGTAGTATTGGTGAGAAGTATGTAGTACACCCAGAAAGATATATCAAGTAAACACCTGAAAAAGTAGATCCTAAACTGAGGAGAAGGCTCAAGGGGGAAAATTCCAAAGTCAAAAACACACAGATCCTAAGTTCAAGTAAGTGAAGGAGGTAATGTAGTCAGAGCTGAGAAGAAAATAAAATAGTTATTCAAGAAGGGGATCCCAGCATTTCAAGAGGAATCACCAAATTTATGAAAATGTTAACATTTCAAGTTTTTTCCCCTCAGATATTCAGGTGGAGACATCTAGCAAAAGCTAGAGAAAGAAATGTTGACCTCAGGAAACAGGTGGGATGGGGAGGGCTGGTAGATTAGGGATAGAAATCCCTTCGATGAAGACAGTATGAGATAGTGAGTACATATGAGGGAGTAGTTCTATTTTTCACTTCTAGAAACATTTGGAGGTGAATGGAGAAAGCATAGTAGTCCAGAAAGGAACTTCAGGTGATTTTTCACTTGCTCTGGGTCTCATTTCCTCATCTGTAAAATCAGTAGTTTGGAATAGAATCCCTTTGGGATCCCAGCATTACTCAAGCCTACGGCACGGTGTCAGAAGACTTCAGGATGGAATCTCTTCCCTGTCCTTCATTAGCAGTGTGGTCCTGGACACGCCATTGATCTATAATTCTGAGGCTCAGTTCCGTTATATGAAAAAATGGAAGTACCTATGATTAGCTTACTCGATCTCACTGGCCGTGGGGGGCAGGGGGGGCAAGTTAAAGACACAATTCAGGGGAAAGCAATTCCACAGTGCTAGGTATACAGCAAGTGCTCAGTAAATGTTGGTTGGAATAGATACAGAGCATACTTTTTATTGTAATGGTAACCATAGACATAGTGTACTAAGCAGGATATAATCAGAACTAAAGGCTATTTGTACATTATACTTAAAAATTAATGATGATCTTTAGATAGCTTATTACTCTTATAAAAGGCAAGGATCAAGAGATTATTTTTAAACCTTTGGAAGGTATACAGCCTATCTTACAGGCATAAAGATATGGCATCCCAAAATACTTCCTGAACATGTAAGATAATAAAATTTTGTGTAGAGTTCTATTACCTATTTGTCTTTAAATCTGTAAAATATGTATGGTTGAATACCTTATTTGTCACTCCTTGGCTGGCCTATCTCCTCTATGAATATAATAGCCTAACACAGTGTTATGACAAAAAGCCTATAAACCTACACAGACTGGAAAGATGGAGGAGGAAGGCTATATTTCTGGTTTAAATTTGGAGACCTGTTTAAAAAAATACTCATTTTAATTCCTGAAATTCATAATAATAATTTTTCTAATTTTTAATTAGAAAAGTCCAATTTAGAATTTCTCCCTATTATGATTATTCTTATGTTACCCATAAGAACACCAAACAGCATTAATAATACCAAAATAGCATTAAGTAAAACTTGACTCTGAAATCAGCTTTGGAAGGATGATGTATTATATCCAGTGAGAATAAACCACAGCACCAGTAAAGGCAGACATCAAAAGGCAATTTGTTTTAAACAACACATTTTAAGAATGGTTTTCCAAAACTGAGGTCAAATCAAGAGAAAAATTTACAGACATATCATTATTCCCAAGGAAATACAGTAAGGCAAATCCCATTATCAGAGATGAAGAAAAGCAGCTTTGCCAAGTTTTCAAGAGCAAATTTCACCAAGTTTTTAAATTTACTATCTTTCTTCAAAAGGAGAATCAAATGATCCTTATATAAATCATTTTGATGTCCAAATTGAAGAAAAGAAACATTAAAACATCTTAGCTAACCGCATTCAAAGGGCAGGTCAAAACCACTCTTGACACTCCAGTCCTCTGTTGTCAAACATGTCTCATTACTACCATTAGCAGCTCAGCAGGCTCTTCATAAGCAGAACATTATTACATGAGATCTTGCTAAAGTCTGTCAAATATCCCCAAAGAAATGGAGGATTTTATGAATTTTACATCTTCTGGAATCCTACTTTCATTCTTCTCTTTGAGATTATTTTTAACTGTTACAATCTACAAACCTGAGGCCATTACAATAAGTATGCTCGTGTTTGAGGTTTATCTCCCAACTGTAGGAGCTCCACCATTGCTATTCTTCCCTTGTATGTTGGAAGAAAGCCATAAATAACAAACTAGCACATTAATGCAGCTCTCGACTCTTGATTGTGCTTCTCAAAACAGCATTAAGTAAAGCCTGCATCTGAAATCAACTTGGAGAGGATGATGCATAGCAGGTAGTAAGAAGAAATAATAACAACAGTAAGGGATTTTACAACCGGGACGCCAGACTATATAGACCATTGCTCTTGAAAGACAGCAGAGCTCCGATAATATGTAAAAACCGTATGGAGAAGACGGACACCTGTATCTCTTATTTGCTACGGATACAGTCAAGAGCAGGGAAGCTTGTTCTCTTGCCTCTGGCCATGCAAGGATTGGGGGTGCTGACTGACCTGTGCTGTCCTGGGGCTTACAGAGTGGCGTCTTCTACAACTTATAATCCGTGCAAAGAGCAACCTAAATCACAAACAGGTCATTTCCTTCCCATTCCTCAACCTTTTCTTTCAGTTTGACAAGGAAAAACTGGCATCTGGGCATCACATTGAACAGCACAACAACAAGCAATTTCCCTTTGTCACTAAATCAATCAGCCGTTATTAAATTCTTCATTAAGGCTATCCCCATCCCTCAGTTTTCATTAAGCCACATTTCTCATGTCTGAAGCACTTCTTATTAGAAAGGTGCTGAGGGGAAAGACAACAGCAAAGAATTGCCTCTATTAATGCCTCGGGGTATCTTTAGCGCTAAAGCTGGTGAACCTATCTAGGTGTTTTATATTACTGAGTGGTAATAATAATAATAATACCTCTATCTGTGTAATCATTTAAGATTTCCAAGGCAATTTCAAATGCATTATCTTAATCTCAAAACAAGCTCAAAGTCTCTATGCTGGCTTTGTTCCTATTATTTTGGAGATGAGGACACAGTCTCAGAGAATTTGAATGGTTTGCCCAGAATTACCCTGGGAGTAAAGCGGGGAGCCTAGATGAGAAGCCGGGTCTTTCTGACACTTGACTTCTTTGCACTCCCCATGCTACCTCATACCTAGAACACAGTCTAATGAATAGCTGTTCTGCTTTTTCAGGTCTCTGTGGCATGTCTGTCAGAAGACAGATCGGAAGTCAATACCAACATGTCACCTTGCCAGGTTACAGGGCAAGCTCCAACCTGTCCCCAGCAGCAGGTTTTGGGGAAGGAAAGGCGAGAAGACATTCCTAAGAGTCTGAATGGGAAGAGGAGAGATCTACAAACCCTAGAGAAAATATGAACTCTGAAATAATCATCTGTCTGGCTTATATCACTGAGCACAGAAGGTTAACTGTCTGAGCCTTGCTTTAGTTTTACTGCTGTGGGAATGTAGGTGAGTGAGAACAAGTGAATCACTGAAAATGAAACATCTACAGGAATAATGTCTTTCTTTGGAGAAAACAAGGTAAAACAATGTGCACCTACTGACATCAGAATAAATAAAATAAAACAAAACAAAATAAAGTAGAACTGTGCTGGAAAAAATGTAAACATCAGAAAGGCAACTCTTCTTTTGAGGGTAGAATACTCTCAGCAAAGGTCTGCTAAGTGCAGTCTTTGTCTTCGGAGATTTATTCCAGCAACTGAACTTTCTAATGGTCTATTCTGATGTTCGGTCAAGATTTTCTAAACGTTAGATGGAATTCTTTCCCGTAGATTTGTTTTTCACTAGACTCCTTTCGGTAACTGTCTATACACACACAAAAAGTTTGACCAACTCACTTACTAGTTGTATGGTCATGGGTGAGACACTCAACTGCCCAGAGCCTCAGCTTCCTCATCTGCAAAATGTGGATATCAATAGGACCTGCCTTGTAGGATTCTGATAAAGATTTAATAGATTAATGTTGTAAAGGGCTTAGAAGAATACCTGGCCCATCACACATGCTATAAAAGTGTTTTAAACGAATGAATAAATGAAGTAATTAATTAATGAATTAAAATGAAACAATAAAAGGTTAAA